TTAGGAAAATATGGAACAATAAGATCTGTAATATAAGATGGAGCTAGGTAGTTGAGAGCTTTGTAGGTTAGAAGTAAGATTTTGAATTCTATTCTGGATTTGACAGGGAGCCAGTGGAGAGAAACTAAAACTGGAGAAATATGATCTCTCCCACTAACTCCAGTTAAGACTCTGGCAGCAGCATTTTGGATCAGCTGAAGACGTTTTAAAGAAGTATTTGGACATCCAGATAATAAACCATTGCAATAGTCCAGTCTAGACGTGACAAATGCATGGACCAGTTTTTCTGCATCATTTTTAGATAAGATGTTTCTAATTTTAGTGATACTACGCAGGTGGAAGAAGGTGGTTCTAGTAATGTTTTTAATGTGGGGGATAAAAGACAAAATCCTGATCAAAAATAACACCAAGATTTTTAACATGAGAGCTGGAGGACAGATTAATGCCATCTAAGGAGGGAAAGACTGAAAAATTAATTCCTAAGGTGCTCAGGTCCAAAAACCAAAACCTCAGTTTTGTCTGTGTTCAACAGGAGAAAATTAAGGGTCATCCAGGTTTTTATGTCTTTAAGACATGCTTGTAGTCTAAGTAGCTGATTGGATTCATTGGGTTTAATGGACAAATATAATTGTGTGTCATCAGCATAACAATGAAAACTTACCCCATGCTGTTTAATAACTTCACCTAATGGAAGCATATATATAAAGTAAAGAGTATTGGCCCAAGCCCTGAGCCCTGAGGAACTCCATGACTAACTTTGGTGTATGAAGAAGATTTATTATTTACATTTACAAACTGGAATCTATCAGATAGATATGATTTAAACCATTTTAGAGCCATTCCTGTAATCCCAATATCATATTCAAGCCTCTGTAGTAAAATATTGTGATCAACTGTATCAAATGCAGCACTGAGGTCTAACAGGACCAGTATAGACACAAGTCCATTGTCTGAGGCCATGAGAATATCATTAGTGACTTTTACTAGTGCTGTTTCTGTGCTATGATGAGCTCTAAACCCTGACTGAAACTCCTCAGATTATTTCTTTGTAGATGTTCACGCAACTGACCTGCAACTATTTGCTCTAGAATTTTTGAGATGAAAGTTAGATTAGATATAGGTCTATAGTTGGCCAGAATTTCTGAATCAAGGTCAGACTTCTTAAGTAAAGGTTTAATTACAGCAACCTTAAAGCTCTGTGGTACATAACCGTCCATTAAAGACAAATTAAGTAGATCCAAAATGTGGACATTAATTAGAGGGAATACCTCTTTAAACAGTCTGGTTGGGATGGGATCTAGCAGTCATGTGGATGGTTTGGATGAGGTTATTATTTTTGACAATTCAGAGAGCTCAACAGGACAAAAACTGTCCAAACATAAATCAGGCTCTAGTGAAATTTTTAAAGTTGCCTCATTTGACAGAGGACTAGAGATAGTAGAAGGAAGGATGGTTTGAATTTTCTCTCTAATTGAAATAATTTTATTTATAAAGAATCTCATGAAGTCATCACTACTTATAGTTGTACGGATACATGGTTCAACAGAAATGGGACTTTTAATTAGTCTAGCAATAGTACTAAACAGAAACCTAGGGTTATTTTTATTCTCCTCTATTAAAGATGAGTAATATAAAGTTCTAGCTTTATGGAGAGCTTTCTTATATGTTAGCAGACTATCTTTCCAAGTTAAATAAAATTCTTCAACATTAGTAGAGCGCCATTTTCTCTCCTGGTTTCTAGATGCCTGCTTTAAAGTACGTAACTCAGAATTGAACCAAGGAGCCAGTTTCCTCTGATTGATTACTTTCTTTTTCAGTGGAGCAATTTTATCAAGTGAAGTTTGCATTGAAGTTGTAAGATGATCAACTAGATGATCTAAGTCTCCGTTCTCTGATGCATTACTCTGCAAGACAGAGGAAAACATTGATGGAAGAGACTTTAAATTTAGTTACAGCATTTTCTGATAAGCACCTGCTGAGAAGAAATTTTCTCTCAGTGATTGTGTAGTCATTTAATGTAAACTCAAAGGTTATTAAAAAATGGTCGGACAGAATAGGATTTTGAGGAACTACTACCAAGTCCTTAATCTCTACACCATAGGTCAGAACTAAATCAAGAGTGTGATGATAAGAATGAGTAGATGTGCAAATATTTTGGGTAAAACCAAATGACTCTATTAAATTATTAAAGGCTATGCTTAAGCTGTCACTCTCAACATCCACATGAATATTGAAATCACCCATTATGATTATTTTATCAGTACTTAATAATAAGTCAGTTAATAATTCTGAGAATTCAGACAAAAACTGAGAGTAAGCGCCTGGTGGACAATATATAACAACTAGTAAAAGTGGTTTATCTGATTTCCATTTTGGATGAGAAAGACTGAGGGACAGTGATTCAAAACAATTATAACTAATAACTGGTTTGGCATTAATCAATAATCCTGACTGAAAAATAGAAGCTACTCCTCCACCTCGGCCAGTTGTTCTAGGAACATGAAAATTTAAATAGTTAACAGGAGTGGATTCATTTATACCAACAAAATCCTCCTGATGTAGCCAAGTTTCTGTCAGACAGAATAAATCAATATGATGATCAGTTATCGGTTCATTAACTAACGGGGATTTAGAGGAAAGAGATCTGATGTTCAATAATCCACATTTAATGATTTTATGATTTTGCTCTGGTAAAGTAACTGTGTTTATTTTAATCAGATTTTTATGGTTTATATTTTTAGAGCTGATTTTTTGTTTATTTAATTTGAGCCGTGTGCGAGTTGACACTGTTTCAATGTGGGTGTGGGTGGGTAACAGAGGAGAAGCAGCAGAGAGGTGTGGAGGACTATAACTCTGCTTCCTGGACTGGACTCTGGGTTGTCAATAATTTGGGGGATAAACAAATCAGCCATATTTCTAGAAAGAAGAGCGGCTCCGTCCAAAGTGGGATGGATGCCATCTCTCCGCATCAGACCAGGTTTTCCCCAGAAAGAACTCCAGTTATCTGTGTAGCCCACGTCGTTGTCAGAACACCACCTGGACACCCAGCGGTTAAACGATGACATACGGCTAAACATGTCATCGCTGGTCAGGTTGGGGAAAATCAACACAAGGTCAACAATGTAATGAAATGCTTAGGATGAGAAGAACCGTCTCAAGAAGAAACTTACAGAAAGTGACCACAGGATGTACGTCTGCAGCTGATTATTGAAGTCAGTCGAATTCGAGGTGGCTGCCACAGCTTATCGATTTTATCCATCCTTTATCTTCCACTTGTTCCGAAGTTGGGTAATGATAGCATCAGTTTGAGCAGGGAGGCCCAGACATCTCTTTCCTCTTCCAGTTCTTCTGGGAGGACCCCAAGGTGTTCCCAGGCCAACCGTCCTGGGTCTTACTCGGGCTCTCCTCCCAGCTGGACAGGCCTGAAGCACTTCCCTAGGGAGGTGCCCAGGGAGCATCCTTACCAGATGCCCGAACCACCTCAACTGGTTCCTCTAGATGCGGAGGAGCAGTGGTTTTACTCTGAGTCTCTCCCAGATAATTGAACTTCTCTTCCCGTCTCTAAGGGAGAGTCCAGCTACCCTGTGGAAAAAACTCATGTCAACCGCCTGTATCCAGGATCTCATTCTTGTGGTCACTACCCAGAGCTCGTGACCATAGGTGAGGGTAGGAACGTAGACTGACTGGTGAACAGAGAGCTTTGCCTTACAGCTCAGCTCTCTCTTCACAACAGACCAGTACAGAGTCCTCAATACTGCTGCTGCACCAATCCGTCTGTCAATCTCACGCTCCATTCTTCCCTCACTCGTGAACAAAACCCCGAGATACTTGAACTTCTTCACTTGAGGCAGAACCTCACCCTCGACCTGAAGAGAGCGATCCACCTTTTCCTGGCTGAGGAGGACCATGGCCTCAGATTTGGAGGTGCTGATTCTCATCCCAGCCGCTTCACACTCATGTGAACCGCTCCAGTGAGAGCTGGAGATCACGGCACGATGACGCCAACAGGACCACATCATCTGCAAAGAGCAGAGATGGAATCCTGAGGCCACCGAACCAGAATCCCTCCGCCCCCCTGGCTGCACCGAGAAATTCATAAAAGTTATGAACAGAATCGGTGACAACGGGCAGCCCTGGTGGAGTCCAACTCCCACCCTGAAGGGGTCCGACTTACTACAGGCAATGTGAACCAAACTCTCACACCACTTGTATAGAGACTGAGCAACGGCCCCCCCTTATCAACCTACTGATAACTCTGTCAATCTTGTGGTGTAGCTGAGAGTCACCCTCCTCTCAGGTCGTTTTAAGATTTGACCAAAACTGCTTCAACTCATGAGATGATCTCAGTTTAAGGAGGTGGGCGACGCGCATTCCTTCGAGGTATGCCGGGCCTTTAACGAACACGAGACAGCTCTGGGACTGCAGCAGGCCGGGAAGCTTTTGTTGTTGCATATTTGTGCAGCAGGCTACACCCAAGCTCAGGAACTAATAACACCACCCTGAGTCAGTGTTAGACCAGCTCACTTGTTTTCTATCTGCTCTTTCAACCATCAAGCTGATCTGATTAAACCTTTCAGCAGACTTTCACAAACTCTTAAAATTGATCTTCTAGTGAGTGTCATCTGGTTCTGCCTCCCTCTGCACCTCAGACCTGCCAGAGGAGCTGTGTGTGCTTTGGCTCGGGGTCACGCACTGACGTCGACAGGCGTGGTAACAATGAGAACCTCATCCATACATCCAGAGGTGAACAACAACAAAATGACACAAACAAATGGAATAAAACAAAGCGAAGCGCGCGCGTGAGACGGGACATGCACGGACTGAACGTGGTCTGTTTGAAGAGAGACTTTCACTGGAAGTGAAACAAACTGAGGAGTTTCCTGCTCACACACACGCGCGCGCGCGCACACACACACAGGAAATGAGTCATCCGAGCTGAACTCAGCGTGGGTGTGTGCGCGCGCTGTTAAAACAAGGCGCAGACTCCTGCGCGTGACTCACTCTCTGATGCTGGCTTTTCCAGGCGGAGGAGCAGCGCGGCTCTTTGCTCATCAGATGAACTTTTGGGGAACAGAGAGCAGCTCTTCACCGTCATGGCTCCCACCCTCCTGGTCGGGCTCATCCTCGCGGCTGTGACCAGCCTCCACGGCGCGCGCGCGGAGAAAAGTGAGTAAAATCATAAATAAACGAATAAAAACAAAGTCGAACTTGACTTTAAGACGAATCCTGAATTAGACTCGGTCGTTTCTTTGTTTTCCCTGAATCTGGAGATAAGGAGTAGTGGCTCTCCTCACCGGTTCCGCATTCCTGTCTCCTTATTTCACTCCTGCCCCCCACCCCCCAGGTGAGAGGGACAGAGGCCAAGCTGTGATGTCTCCAAAGGGACATCTCGGAGACAATTGTCAACCTTCACCTTGGAGTTTGGCTTCTGGTCCCAGAGGAGACAGAACATGATCAGAGCAGAGTTTCTAAAAGTTGTTTTCACATCTGCTCAGCAGCTGATCACACTTCAGAGCTTTAAGAGCACAACTCCACTAAAAGATGGTTCTGTACAATCAAAAGAACAGAACTGCCATTCATCCATCTGTAAGTTCATCAAATGACCCACCGTCAACTTTTATTGACAAGTCATGACCAAAACCAACAAAAACTTTCAACGTCTCACACTTATTGGACAAAAGGATGGTGCAGTTCAGTGGTGTAGTCTGTGTGATACCCGGGTATACCATGTAATGTATACCCACTAGAAAAGCTTAAGAATTCCAGTGTACCCACTTAAAAGTGCCCAATGATACATGACATATCAATGTGCACGTGTCATTGATACACTTCCGTGACAATCTATTGGTATGCAGCACTTTGCTTTGATACTATGGGGTGTCATTTGTAAAGTTGCAGTCAAAAATTAACAGCAATATTTTGGTCAACTTAGCCTTTCATAAGAAAAAAACTAGTTTATTTTTTATTTTTTTCAAAGTCATATTTTCACCATGTCATTCATTCATAAATGTCATAGTTCCAAACTAAATATTTAATTTACAAGCTAAGTATTTAGTTTACAAACTAATTACTTAACTTGAAAGCTAAATATTTAGTTAGCAAGCTAAATATTTATTTTACAAACTAAATGTTTATGTCCAAGCTAAATGTTTAATTTTCAAACCAAATATTTAACTTGCAAGTTAAATATTTAGTTTGCAAATTAAATGTTTAGTTTGGAAATTAAATATTTAGTTTAGGACTTAAATAGTTAGCTTAGAAATTAAATGTTTAGTTTGGAAATTAAATAGTGAGCTTGGACAATAAATATTTAGTTTGGAAATTAAATGTTTAGTTTTGAAAATAAATATTTAACTTGAAAATTAAATATTGAATTTACACCTAAATATTTAGTTCACTAACTAAACATTTAACTTGCAAGTTAAATATTTAGTTTATAAATTAAACATTTATCTTGCACATAAACATTTAGTCTGTAAACTAAATATTTAGAATGAAGCTAAATATTTAGTTTGGAACTATGACATCTATAAATGTATGAATGACATGGTCACAATATGACTTTGAAAAAAACAAGTTTTTTTTCTTATTAAAGGCTAAATAAACCCAAATATTGCTGTAAATATTTGACTGTGTAACTTTACAAACAGCACCCCATATGATACTGTTTAATAAATTCTAATTTTTTTTTAATACAAAGCCAACCCTTGTACAAAGTTTGTCGTTCATTTATTCAAATATAAGCATCAGAGAAATTTGAAAATGTTCAATATGCAAATTCACAATTACATCGTTCTAACCAGTGTACTTTGGTTTCTAAGCACAGTATACCCACTACAACAATGTAGACTACGCCACTGGTGCAGTTTGATCCAGAGATATAAGAAAAGAATATCATAGTAAGCCAACAAAACAAGATTAACGATACAATAAATAATAATAAAGTACTATATGTTGTCATCATTGTAAGGCGAAATTGGTTCTCTGCATTTAACCCATTGCACCTGGGCTGCACCCAGGTGGAGCAGTGCCCGAGGAGCAATTGGGGATTAGGTGTATGACCAGCAAGTGTCAGCTCCATGGAGGGAAATACTTATTTTCACCTAATTAACTGCATTTTAATACAAAACTCAAAAAAAACATTTTTCAAAGAGTCCAACTGAAAAGTAAATTTAAAGACTCTAAATACGGAACTTCAACTGAGCACCCACCCACTGAATATATGACAAACACTAATTCAACCATTAACCAGAACTTTGAGGGTTTTTCTTTACATTTTTTCACTGTCCACTGAAAATGGGTCTGCGGCCCACCTTTGGGTCATGACCCACCAGTTGACAGTTACTGCTTTGAATCATCATAGGCCTAACGAGGCTCGAGTGCTGGTATCTCGCTGGGCAGAAGCTCTCGCCAGCAGAATAAATCACAACTGGTGAGGTGGGTACGATGTGGGCGGAGGTAGACAAAAAAGAAAAGAATGCAGCGTCTCAAAAAGCGATCGCACGGCTGGCTGGTCGCTCGGACGCAGAGTTCCTCAGAAATCTCCCAGTTTTTCCACAAAGTTGAGTCACCAAGCAATCCTCCAACAGCTGCAGCTCAGAGACACCACCTGTAGAGCGCTCAGTTCAGCCCACAGTGACTGTCTGCAAAAATAAAATGACTTGGGGAAACAATGAATGAAAACCAGGAACTGTGCCTCCTTCAGTCAGGTTTGAGTTAGACTAAAATGGGTTGGAACATTCCTTTGCTAAGTCAGAGTTGGTGCTGATGAACAAACATGAAGGATGAAGAAAAGCAAAAATTAAATTCTGCTTTATTTTCCACAAAATACTTAATGTTGACAGACACCGTGTGAGTGATGACGCTAATCAGCGTTAATCGCCATGAAGTGTCAGATTACAGGCACGATCTGTACATTAACTGTATTTTGACCAAACGTGACGGCTTCACTAAACTTAAAAGAAAAATAAGACAAAAAAATGTTGTAAAGAAAAATGCATAGAACCAAGCGAATATGACTAAAGTCATTTCTTTAGGCTGGTTCAGGTTGATTTAGTTGTGGCGGCCATCTTGAATTAAACTCCAAAAGTTAATAAGTTGTAGATCATGCAATGATACTTTCTGAGAGTTTCCTTAAAATCCATCTGGAGATATTTTGCTAACAGGGTTGACACCAGCAGTTAATGTGAAAGGTTTAAGCCAAGTTGTTGCGCAATGACCGGCGCTCTCGGAGTATGAGCATTGATATAGTCTCAGCTACGCCCACACCAAGATTCAGCTTAATAATGCTGATGGAGTAAAAACATTCTTGTTAAAAGTGAAAATGGCCTTCTGAGAAAAAAATAAAATAAATCCACCTGTGCTTCAAACCTTGGTGAAACTCAGGTTTGAGCAGAGGTCAGGCATCAGTCACGGGTCACTTCCTGCCAGAGCTGCAGTCCATTCGGATGACGTCGAGCCTGAAATCAGCGGCGCTGCTTACACAAAGCGTGACACACTTTCACTGCCGTGGTGACTGCGGAATGAGTCAGTGGCTCTGCCGGGGCCGCTTGGAGGACGGAGGGTCTCCGAGGGGCCCGTGCATGTGGCTGTAACATAAGCAGCAGAGCCCGGGAGGTCAGAATTTCTCAAACAGTGTGTGAGCAGGCGTCGTCTGGCTGCAGCTGCCTTTAACAATGACCCACACTCAGGAGATAACACAAGCCTCACTCACACACACATGTGAAGTTCACATTTCCTCTGGATGTGAGTGAAGACACTCATCAAGCAGATGTAAACATTTCACAAGTAAGGTTCAGCCCAATCTGACGGATATGAAACAACGCAAGGCTGGAATTCCCAACTGGACTTAAAAGACTGATGGAGACTTTAAATGTTTCTGATCTCCTTTGATGCTCAGAATGAGGGGAAACAATCCCAGCATTCGTTAAAGAAATGCATTTCACCACTAGGCCTGTCGCGATAAACAATAAATTAATCACATGATAAATTAAAATTATCAACCTCATTTTCATTCATCGGCTTTATCATTTCTTCGTGTTTCTCTCTTTCTACTGAAGACACTGGATGACAAAAGACTCAACTCCGGTGCTCTTCTCTGACCCCTCCCTTTCTTTTCTCTCTAAAATCCATTTTAACGATTCAAAATCACGTTTTTGGATCGTTAAAAGCAGCTAAGCTACGCTAACGGGCCGACCTCGGGGAAAAAAACTTACAAAATTCATGGTTGAAACCTGTACCTTTGTGTAAAAAGTTTTTCTCTTCAAAAATAAGCTGATAACTTGTTTACTGATATATTTTTTTTTAAATCGTTGTGTGAAAAATGCTATGCTAAAGAGCTCAAACCACACCGAGCATCCGCTATTTTGAGACCCAAAGAGAGACCGCCCATGTCACGTCAAGGGAGAAGGGGTTCTCTGCAGACCAAAAGTGGGCGTTTCTGGAGAATAGGCGTTTGTAGAGGGCAAACACTGATTGGCTAGCTGTATCTGCTGCTCTTTAGTTAAGTTACGTCAACTGTTTTTTAAAACTGAATGTTTCTAAGAAACGGTTATATCTGCTGTCAAACGCAAGAAGATTTTCTTTAGTCCTTGGGTTGTAGCTGCACCTGATACAGGTTGGCTTGAGTGTGGTCTGGGTACAATGAAATATGAAGCATCTGAAGCAAAACCTGCTCCCATTTGCCAAAAAGTCTGGTCTCAATTAAAGATCATGAGTCCTGTAACGAGATAATGACCCAAACACAAACGCTAAAAACAATATTTGCTCTTTAGAAGTTCTTCTATGAGATCTGATCTATGACAGGAGCTGAAACATGGAGTAGGACTGACCCTTCAAATGTGAGACAGCTGAGGAAGTTAACCAGTAAACAGAATACCTGCTCCAGCTGCAGAAATCTGACAGAAACTGACAATCACTCATCTGCCTAAAAGGTTGAACAAGAAAATGTGAAGTTAAAGGAAACATCCTTTGTCCCAAGACCAGTTTAAGTATCATTATTATTCTGGTTACTTTATTTTTCTTTCTTTTGAATCGATTGTAACTATTTTCACATTTTTTCAACAACCAAAACGGATTTTGTTTTTAATGTAATGTAACCGGAAGTTCTGTGTTAAGAGAGGCCGAAAGAGAAGTTATGGCGACGCCGCTAATGTTAACACCATAGACATGTCTGTGGTTAACACAAACGGCTTTTTTTTTTTGTTCAGCCTTTTGTTTTTTGTTAAATCAGATGTGGTGTCCAGACACGCCCATTTTCTATTGTCCAATCAGATGTGCCCCCTCGGATACGCCTTGTCCAATAAGATGTGGCCCCCCAGATACGCCTTCCAAATTTGTCTGCAGAGATACCTACTTGTGTCCAGGGGCCTCCCTCCCATTTTTCTTAAAGAGACACGCTGCTCCCTCCTCACTATCCATCCTTTAGGTCAAACAGTCTTATACTACCATGCGGTGGTCGAAAAAAGGTGCTACACACCAAAATTAACCAACATTTCTTCTTAAGTTTGACAAGTACTAATTATTGTCAAATTTCAAACAATATTATCGTTTATCGCAATAATTTCTGAGACAATTAGTCGACCAGCAAAATTTGTTATGGTGACAGGCCTATTCACCACGTTTTGTCTCTGAATCTGTACAATTGATTGTGTTGTAGACGTTTTTGTGTTTGCTACGGTTGATTAGCTGCGGTGCCCAACTTGAATTGGATTGACGCCCATCTGTTGTAGCTCTACATCCGATCATTTCCCCTGAACGTTTCATGACAATCTGTGAACTGATTCATGAGATGTTTTGCTAACAGACGAATAACTCCCAGTGGTTATTGGCATAATTTTATAGAAAAAGCTTGTGCAATCTGTAAGAACTCTGAATACTGGTTTGAGGTGATTTGGCTACTTCACACCAAATTGTAGGTAAGTATCTGTTAAATGGACTGAGTTATAGCTAGTTTTGTTTTTTGGATTTTCAGTGGACGGTGGCGGCCATCTTGAATCAGGTTGACTCCGAAAGCTAATCGGTTGTAGACCTACACTCTGTGACTCCTGTCTGAAAGTTTTACTGAAATATGTCCAGTGATATTTCTCTAACACACACACAGGATTGTCTCCAACAGTTAATACTAAAAAGCACAGCTCAAGTAGCACTTGGACAGTGTGTTGTGAGCAACTCTCGGCTACTACCACACCAAACTTTAGCTCAATATCTGTAAAGTTGACTGAATTAAAGGCGTTGTTCTGACTTTATTATAGTCTGCTGGCTGTAGCGTCCATCTTGACTGAACCTTTAATCTTTAAATATAACCAGTTGTAGACATACAGTATACCCAATTATTGATTTTTTACAACTTAAAAAATGTGTCAAGTGCTTCATGAGATATTGTAAAAACACTATCATCTGCCTCTGCCTTTTGGCAAAGTGATAAGAACTCTACCTTTACCTGCCTCAATAACAGAATGCATCTAATGGAACTAATGTAAATGTAACTACCGTATTTTCCGGCGTATAAGTCGTAGGTTTTTTTTTTTTGTTGTTGCTTAGATTTGTCAGTCCCGCAACTTATGCGCCGAAGCGACTTATATAAGTTTATTTATTTATTTTTTTGTTTTTGTTTTTGTTTGCATATTCATAACGCAATTTTTGACTGGTGCTTTAAATTTCTAAGAACTGCAACAGCGAGTCCTCCCGTGCGTGCTCGCTTCACTCAGCTGGTGCAGGCGGAGGAATGCTGGATGGATGGATGGATGGTGCCGTGCTGGCCAGGCGAAACGAAGCGGTTTTGACCATTAAATAAACACATAATAAAAGCGACTTATAGATGTTTTCCCCTCTTCATGATGCTTTTTTTGACTGATGCGACTTATACTCAGGAAAATACGTTAATCTACCACGCTGTCGCTGCTGCTCAGCGTTTCTTTAACTACATAATGCAACCTAAGGTCTTTTTTAGTTGCTCGTCTCGTCATTTTCTAATCTAACTTCTCTTTGTTTTGTTGTCAGTGATCCAGATGTAGTTTCCCACACACTCATTCAACCAGCTGGGTTTACGTCAGACGCAACCCTCTGATGGTTTTGCGATGACGTTCTGTGGTGATTTAAGCTCTACATGAAAGGTTGACTCACTCCGTGCCTGAGAGGTTTTTTTTCTTATCACCATGCAGGTGGTTATATATGCAAATACACGTGCGACAAGGAAGAAGGAAGAAGGTTATCATGTTATCAATCAAATGTCACTCACCTGTTTCCAGGTTGCTTACATGTGATGTTGTGAAGGTCATGTTTTTGGGGCTCTCAACCAAACCAGGAACATCCCTCGTCACTTCTTGAGGTGTACAGTCTTGCTTTTTGTTTTGTTTTCCTGTCATATTGTCATCCTGACCGTCGGACACAGTCTTTTTATTCTCAGGAACCTGAACACTGCAGCAAAACATTTCAGAGGAAGAGGTTCATAAAACACACACTCACACGTCTTGAGTTTCAGAATTAGCATTCTGCCTCTCGGAGGGATTTCCCACTTTCGTTTTACACGAAGAAAAACTCGACCTCATGTTTTTGTCAGGTCAGAGATTCAGCTGCAGGCAGATCAACACACATTTTCACCCACCAGACACCTGGTTAGAGTTTATAGGGTTTTATTTAATGCAAAGGACCTTCAGTGGGTTTCTGAAACATGTAGGGATACAACTGAAAGTGTTCAATATCATTCATGCTTTAGTTTTGTCACTGAAAGGCAGGTGACTGTGTTTTTATCGATGTTTGTGTGTCCAGGTGTCTCCGTTAGCAGCAACATGTCTCATGAACCAGTGGACAGATTGAAATTAAAATCACCGACATCTACAATTCATTACCCTGTGGTGTCAACCCAATTCAACATGGACATCATCAGCAAACGCAAATCTATAACTTAGTCACTTTTACAGATACAAAGCTAAAGTTAGGTGTGGTAGTAGCTGAGAGTCATCCTCAACACACTCCAAGTGCTAACAGAGAAGGTAAATTCTTGCAATCTAATGTATAATTTATAAGGTTTGCTCAAATGTCTACAACTTTGTCCCTTCTCATCATGAGATGAAATTAAACACTGGCATAAAAGGCAGCAGGTAACATGGGTCTTTAACGCTGTTACGGGTTAGTTTACCGTATTTTAAGGCGCACCGGATTATAAGTGAAACAAGTTCATTTTGACAGATTTGTACCACATAAAATCAGTTCGAGGTCAGTAAACACAACCAGAATTAATACATAAGGCGCACCAGATTATAAGGCTCACTGTCAATTTTGAGAAAATTAAAGGATTTTAAGTGTGCCTTATAGTCCGAAAAATACGGTACTTTTACCTGCTCTCTTTGGGTTTTTTTGTCCGTAAAGCTCCATGCTCTGTGTCTGCAGGTCAGTGTCCCAACTCACAGTTTTGGAGCTCAGATTTGGATGTTTGTTTGCCCTGTGCAACCTGCAAGCAGTACCCGAAGACCCCGTCGTGCAACACATGTGAGACTACACAAATGTTGCTGCTTTCACTTTTTGCTGCTTTTGACCAGTCACTGTTAGGTTTAAAGAACAAAACAACAAAAAACAGATTTTCTAAGAATCAAATAGATATGGATAATAGATAGATTTACAAATAAATACATACAAGACAGCAGTCAAACCGATGATGTTATAAAGCATCATTAATTTTTTTCTACCAAACAAAGGCCAGTATGCAAAATGTATAAGTTATAACGTTTAAAACGGTTAAATACCATTACCTCTCAGATGCAAGGCAATTTATTTCATACATTCCCTTAGGACCTGTATTAAAACATAAAAAATACTTCAAACATACTGTCAATAAAATATGATTTATTTTTCTACAATGCAAACTTCTTTACAATGACATAATGTTGATATTTTTGACCCGTACTGTGCATAAAACTTTGTTTTAACTTAACAAAAATCATTTACACTGCCCACATCAAAGGATTTTTGAGAAGAAAAAATATTTGCATTAGTTGTGAGGCTTATTGAATTCTTTAAAAGTCAAAAGCAAACGGCAAGCTAAAAGTGGTGCAATGATAGCTAAATGTATCAAAATGCTAACTAGAAGCTAAAAGTAACAAAAGTCTAAAAGCTAAAAATAGCTAAACTAGCTAAAAGACAAATATAGCAAAAATGTCCAAAAGCTAAAAGTAGCAAAAACAACTTAAAAGCTAAAAGTATTGGAATGCTATTTAAATGTATCAAAAGGCTAACTAAAAGGTGAAAGAAACAAAAGTATGTTTTTAAAACTAAAAGTAGCAAAAGGCTAGCTAAAAGTAGAAAAAGCAAATTAAGTCTTAAAAGACTAGCAAGAAGCTAAAGAAACAAAATGTGTCTAAAAGTCAAAAGTAACAAAAACAAACTAAAAGGTAAAAGTAGCAAAACGTTAGTTAAAAGATTCAACAAACTACCGGTAGTTAGAAGCTAAACGTAGCGAAGTCTGTATAAAAGCTAAAGTTAAACCATGTTTAACATATATCTTAGATCCTTGTATACTGTTTCTTTTTTATTTATATACTTTATATTTTGGTATTTTTGGGTGTAACTGGGACCTTGAGTACACAATTTCATTCCACCTCATGTACCACATGTGATGGAAATGACAATAAAGAAACTTGGAAAAATAACAAAAAACTAATTGAAAGCTCTGTCTCGAAAGGCTAGCTAAAAGCTCAAACTAGCAAAAGGTAATTAAATCTACAAGTAGCATACAGTAAGGAGACCGAGCAAGAAGATGAAACGGATTGAAAGGGAACAACACTTTTAATTAACACTGTCATTGAATGTTTTGATGTACAAATGACTAAAATAGCCCAACGCATACAGAAGTAATAAACCATACGAGGAGAAACAAGACAAAGATCAGTATTCGCAGATTTTGCGCTAAATGAACAGACTTGAATTCCACGGTATCACTTGTCTGGTACAAACAGGAGCTGCCTTATGAATTCATTTGTTTCCTCTGCCTCACTGCGACAGGTAAATCCGTGGAGGAGGCGTCTGACATGTGGAAACTGGCGGCGATCACCAGTTTCTCCGTTCTGGCCGTCGTTCTGATCGGTGCAGCGCTGATCATCGGAATCATGGTGCATCGACGCAAGTCCCACAAACGACCTCTACGCGGTAAAAGACCATTTTCATCAACTGAAGTCTATATTGTGCTTTAATTGCATTCTTTATCCTCATGACGTGCATTTGCTCTGGTTGACATCAGCAACACAAATTCTGACAACACAAAGTAAAAAGTTAATTTGAACTCGGACACAGGTCCGTGTACACAGCAGCCTTCTTTTATGAGTCGTTGGACATGATGATGACGCAGCAGGTGTAAATAATGAGTTGAATTAACGGCTTGTTTTTGTTGGTGTCAGGGCGGTTCAGCTGAATAACAATCATCAGTGATGTGATTGAAAACACCTGGGCTCATAATGTCTTCTCTTGATTTATTACAGAACCCATTGAAGAGACTGCAGGGCCACTTTATCAGGCCTAAACAGCTGAGTATGTATCTCTCCACTTTATTAGTACGTGTTTTTATAATATATGATTTTTAAAGGGAAGAAGAAAAACCTCTCATGTAAAAGAGACTCATTTCAGTCACACTGAGTGGTAATCTGTGACGGAGACGCACTGCTGTTTATTTGACCGATTCCAATTCCTATTTTTTATAATCATCTGCCAATACCGATTAAAACTTGACATCGTGTTCCTTATAAACCATATAGGACAAAAGCTAAAGTGGAAATAAAAGATCCAAATTACTGAACAGAGGTGCTTGTCAATCAAACCCAATTAACATTTTATGTTCCATATCTTAGCTCTTTAACTTTGTAGACCCACCTACACCAAAACAAAACTACTTAAAAAAAACACTGTTTAAATAACAGAGCAAATAGTTTCTCTACAAGCTCTTAATTTAAATTATAAAAAGAATAAATAAAAACCTGATTTCCTGTTTGATTCATTAAATTATCAATAATAATAACTATGAAGCTATTAAATATTTCTAAACTTCCACTTTTTAATGTCATCCTCTCACTCAAACCAAGTACCAGCCTAGCTCTGGTACATTCGTGGGTTGTCATTAATAATCTTTGCATTGGCACCACCAAGGGGGGACTACAGGGGGCAATGGCCACCCCTAAATATTTGTTGACACTTCCCCTTTTTACCCAGCCAGTCTTATATGAATAATAATTTATATGAATGTGATTTTGAGAGGAGAGTACAAGCTTCGCTGAGTAAAACCACCTTTAAAATAAGAAACTGCAAAGTAGATGTGCTGTATACCAGAATTTGAGTCTTTAACTTTCATTTTGTAGTATATATATATATATATATATATATATA